CTCACTCACATGAGCAATCACCCTTGGCACTTGGGAGCTAGCAAAGATAAGACTAGTGGTTTATTTTATTTGGAGCCAAAAGAAACTTAAATTATCCTGTATGTATGTCACTTGGTTGCAACCAAGATGAGGTCGTGTTAAAGACCAAACATGGATATTAGTACCCACTTTCTATGTTGTGCCTGTTATGATTAGCCATATGTGAGATCTTATTTGGCACCTAGAAGGCAACAAATAGAGAATTCGGGTTAGGTGCTAGAAAGTGACTAGACTAAAATCTGTACGGTGTATAGAGTATGCCGTCACTCTTTGAAAGAGTTACTCAACCGTAGCATGTATTCATACTACATATGCTTGGCGACTGAGTAATGTGGCGAGAGAATGGATCCTTGTTTCCTCACCGTGTGAGTCTTACATGTCATTATTGATATGGCTTTCACTTATGTACAATTTTGTGACCTTTGACTATGTCATATGGTAAAAGGTTGATATTTTGCTATTTGGTATGTTGCTTGAGGTTATGTAGGATTCGGCCTTAAGGGACATTGTTGGGAAAACCGTCAATCCTACACTAAATGCCATGAGGGCGAAGGGAAGATCATCTAGTATTACACCACTGCTGTATATTTACTACCGGCAACTCACATTGTTCTATATGAGAGGCAAATTGAGTGTGAATATATTGCAAGAATTGAGAGGGTCAAACATGCTTTTTTGAGGGATTAGAGATGTTTGTTGGACTGGTGTAATTAGATGGGTTTGGGGTATATGAGACACTATTTTTATTTTCAGGTTGATATCTCTATACTAACTCTTTTTGAGTTTCTAGTGTAGAGCTCCGATATGCATGTGTTCTCAGTGGTCGCATTGTCCATTGGCTAGTATGATCGTGTTTGATGGATAGATTGAGATAAAGAAAGCGTGATGCCATGCCAGCGCACGTGTCGAGTGAGAGATATTGAAAATTGGGTCGGGTTTTGAACCCATATCTGATTGGGTCGCCCATAGTGGCATGACCCAAGACCCATAAAGAGAGACCTAGTCTAAGTGGACTTGGATTAACTTATCCTGGAAAAAAATGTCATTAACCCACTATCTTATCTCTTATGGGTGATTATAACACTCCCATATAATATACGTATTGTATGGTGAGAATTAATTTTAATTGTATCTGATCAGTTTCTTGTAGTCTTCTGTATTTTCTTTTTTTTTTCTTCTCTCTCCATAGAAACATATAACAGTCTTTGTACTGTGAAGAGTGTGGATAGTTCTTTAGCAGTTCTGCTTCACTACTAGAAATTATTCGAAGACATTAATGGAGGCACGTGATTCACCCACATGATCCATGAATTTGATTTGAGTGTAAAAGGTATGTCTGAATTCATTTTATTCCTGTTGTGTTATTTCTTATTATTCATTATCATACAATAAAAACAATAAAAATCCCAAATACCAATGCATTTATTTGTTGTTGGTACTTTTTTTTTAGTCTTGTTTGGATTTAAATTTGTAAAAAGATAAAAGAATTAGCATATAAGTTTTTTTTTTATTTTATTTTAATTTTAATTCAGGATCCAAACACGTTTTTTTAGTCATGTTTGGATTGTTTATTAAAATACAAAAGAAGAAAAAGAAATTCCATTCATATTCCTATATCACATACTTTGCTCCCTTAAGGAGAGATGTAATTGGTTCAGTACGATCAGTATTTAGATAAAAAATTTACTAAACTGATAATGCCAGTTTTATTATTTTGAGCGTCGATATAGACCACTTCTCTCATCAAATCGCATTGAACCAAACCGATTGAAATAGTTTGGTTCAGTTCAATTTAATCGACTTAAAACCTTTCAAACTTGAGCTGCTTTTTAGTAAAGTCACTAATTTATATAAAAACATTGAACTCTATTTCAAACATATCTAATCCATCTATTTAATAAATACTTTTCAATTCCTAAATTAACAAAAAAAAAAAAAAAGAGTTAAAAAATACTAAGGTTTAAGAAAATAATGAGTAAGAATTAAGATTATATATAATAAGAGTTTACAAACTTAGGTTATAGAGATGATAATGTTAATATTTATTATATTTATGAATATCATTATATTATTAAACTATATATATATATATATTAAATACAATACATATTGAAGCAGTTAGTTTCGGTTTAGTTCGATGCACAAAATGTTTGAACTAATACCTAACCAAAAATCGAAAAAAATCAAATTAAAAAATCCGCGCAGACCGATTTTTATTAAAAAAACAAATCAAATATAACCATTTGGTCCGGTTTAATCGATTTGGTTGATTTTTTTTCAATTTTTTTACATCCCTACTCTCAAGTTAGGCAAAAAAATGCAATTTGTTTTTGGGCAAATTGCGACGATTATCTCTATACTTTGGTCCTTTTGTCATTTTAATTATTGTAATTTTAATTGACTTAATTTTGACTCTAAATTTATGATTCTATAGAAATTTGGTCCGATTAATTATGACTCTCAACATCTTTTTATCAAAAATATACACATAGGTGTCATGTGTCATATTTTTAAGGGTAAAAATTACAAACTTATTAAAATAAGTGAGTTAATCTCAATCAATTTAGTGATAATTTTCTTTAAAAAAAATACTAACAATATTATCAATTGAATCAAATTAATACAAAATTTAAAATTAAGAATCAAAATTAAGCTAATTAAAAATATAAAAACCATAATGACACAAGAGATAAAAGGTATAGACACAAATGTAATTTTTCCTTTATTTTCATATTTTCTTACCAAGATAAAAGACCACCACCATTGACAATCAGGCCACACCATCGACCCTATTTAATACTCGGCTACCTTGTGGATTACAATACTATTTTATACAACCAAAAAAAAAAAAAAAAATTTGTTGAGGAAATATCATTTTACCTTCTAAATCTTACATATTTTTTAATTTGAGTTCCCAAAATTCGAATAAAATTAATTTGCCTCTTAAAATTTTGAAATTATGATCAATTTAGTCCGTCCCTCACATTCCGTTTACAATCAAACGGAATTTGTTGAGGTAGCACCAAACTTTATTTGGAACTTCATTTTACTCCCCAAACTATACCTTAAAAATCAATTAGCTCCCCAAATATTTTTAAAAAATATATATATGTATATTTAATTAATTATTTTTCATCTCAAAAATGAAAAAAATAAATTTTAAATAAAAAAAATTGAATATTAGTCATGTTGAGCATTCTTTAGACAGTAATTGAATTTTAATTTTTTCTTCCACTTAATTTTGAAATTACTATTAGTCAATCAATTCTATTGAAATTTATTTGGGAAATAAACTAGTTACAATTGCCGGCTCTCACACACATAGAATAGCCACGAAATTTTCAACTCAATAAGTTATTTCAAGATTGACTCAAGATAATTTGAGACATAAGCACATGTACGGCTATGAGTACTGGTATTGGTACAATACGGGTACGTCGATACAGTAAAATTAAAAACAAGTAGGGTACATGTACGGCTTGATACATTTGTAAAAAAATATTTATTTTTAATTTGGAGTAATACAAAAATTGATTAAATGGTTTAATTTATTAAGATCCCACATGCAATTAACATTTAATGCCAACAGTACAAGTATAAGATAAACCAAAATTAAATGTCATTATATTAAATAACTTACAAACCATAACTTAATTTAAAATCATACTAAAAATGAAACAGAAGTTTTGTAAAGGAAATTTTTTCTCTATAGTAAAAGAAAATATTATTTCGACTAAGATATGACACGACTTGGGTATACTAGGTATGTCTGAGTACGCCAAAAATTAAGGGGAAAAAAATTTTGAGTACATGTTTTGTATACCCAGTACGAATGCAGAAATGCCATACGTCGGTAAGTATCCGATACGAGTACGACATATTTGTTGAACTATCCATACTTCATAATTTCAAGATAATTCTAATGAAGTTCTCTATATTTTTTTATTATGTTTTTGTAAAGTATATATTATTTAAAATTTAATTTTTTTATATTTGGAGGGCTAATTGATTTTTAAGGTATAGTTTGTGGGTAAAATAAAGTTACAAATGAAATTTGGTGTCACGCTAGCAAGTTCTGTTTGATTGTAAAGGGAATATGACGGCAGATGACAAATTGATCAAAATTTTAAAATTTGGAGGGCAAATTGATATTGTATGAAGACTTGTGAGCCCACCCCCACAATGTTAATGATACAAAATATTTGACGGATATTCTCTCCCATGTTGTTGGGGTCCAAATATATGAAAATTACAATGACATTGCTCTAATTGCAGTTATTTAATTTTGTTATTTGGCAATTACAAGAAATGAGGAATTAGAGAAACAGTCAAATGTGTTCTTGGACTTGTGATTGTGAATGGCATTGTTATTTATTGATTTGATTATTATGTAGGTGCTATACATCAATTTCAAGTGTCCATAATTAACTCAAGTTGCTCTTCTTCCTAACTGTTTTGACCTCTCATGAATCCCAAAGATTGTGTTTGTTTGGAATTAAATTGTGGGATTGGACTATTTATTTTAGTTAATTTCAAATTTGACGTTTGGACATAAATGAGAAATTTTGAGATTGACAGTCTCTCTAAATTGTATAGAATAAGAATTTCTGTTATATTTTTGTGCAATGATCTTGTTGTGTTTTTTAATCACATCAAGACACATCAACAAATAATATAATTCCCAGTGACTTGAGTTAAAATCATTGTGGAGAGATTTATTGTAGAGAATTACACTCTCCTAAAAATTGATAATTCCAAGTGTCTCGTGTAACAATAGTTTCGTCTAATTCAATTCAACTAAACAATAATAGCCAAAAGGGACTAAAAGTTGGAGAAGCATTGTGAACATCAAGCCTTGCCGACCTCTTGTTCGCCAAATTGTCTCATTTTGTACAAAGCTGAAAAAATCAAACCTTATAAATTGGTCAGCCTCAAAGCTAATCCAATCATCAAAACGCAATCTCATTCTCATAAAAGTACTCTTATTGCAACTCTTACCCATCAACCATCTAAAACAATGGCTTCCTCAATCTTGTTCAAACATGCTTTGTTTTTCATTCTATCTGTCCTTGCCACTTCCTATATTGCCCAAGCCAGTGACCCCAATATCTTAGCTGACTTCATAGTCCCTACAAATTTTAGCACCCCTATTGATGGAAACTTCTTCACCTTCACTGGAATGCGTAGACTCGTCGCTAACTCAACAAACCCACCAAACTTCAAGGCCACAAAAGCAACCATGGTTGAGTTCCTAGCTCTGAACGGCCAAAGTGTGTCGATGGCGGTTCTGCAGTTCCCTGCTGGCGGCGTTAATCCACCACACACACACCCACGCTCGGCGGAGCTTCTTTTCGTAGTGGAAGGTAGTATGGAAGTTGGTTTCGTTGACACTGCCAACAAACTCTACACTCAAACACTTCAGCTTGGAGATATGTTTGTGTTTCCAAAGGGATTGGTACACTACCAATTCAATGCCGATGCCAAGAAACAAGCCACTGCTATCTCTGCTTTTGGCAGTGCAAATGCAGGAACTGTGTCTGCTCCGGTAACTTTGTTTGCTACCGGGATTGATGATGAGATTCTTGCCAAGTCTTTTAAAACTGATATTGCTACCATTCAAAAGATCAAGGCTAGCCTTGCCACTAAGCCCTAAGTTAGAGGCATAAAAATGGCTCATAGTTAGAACTATTTACCTACCTTCGCAACTATTTTATTTATTTATTTACAATTTATCAATTCTCTTTTTATTTATTTTTCTAAATTTTCAGATCTATTTTGAGCAAGCAATAATGTACTTGTTCAGTCTAATTTGATTTGTAATTGTTGAAATAATGCAAGGAAGATGCCACTTTTGGTAATAAATTACCAATGTGTGATTCTATTTCAAAAAGTTTGATTTATATGAATTTTCATTTTTATTTTGTCAATAGGTAGAAAAATATTATATTGATATACATTTTTATAAATATTAAGACAATTATGCTAAATTAGATAATCAATCATTTAAGAAAGTTATACCCGCAAATCCAGCCTATATAACTATTAGGGAAAATTACAAAAATTCTAAGGTTTGATCTCACCAACAAATATATTCTAATTTTTTTAATTATTTTAATTTAAATCCTAAACTTTTAAAATTATAGTAAATACAATCATCCGTTTGTATATTAATTATAACAAATGTAGAAGAAATAATTTAGAATATTTAACCACTTCTTTATTTTATTTTTTTTACTATTATTGACGTGTACTTTTATTCATCACCACCACTCATTTTCCATAATCTAGCTACTTCCAGCCCTCCATTCCTTTTTCCCGTCCACTGTTACTTCTCCCATTTCCTGACTCACTGCTACCCCTCTCGTTCTTTCTCCAATCTGTAACCACTTTCGCTGTACATCACTATTGACAAAAAGTAGTTGAATTGCTTAAATTGCTCGTCTATTAGTTATAATGAATAAACGGTTGTAATTGCTACCATTTTAAAAGTTGAAAATTTTAATTAAATAATTAAAAAGTTAGGATTTGATTTATTTATTTTTTTTCATAAACAATTTTCCCCAATTGTTATTTAATACAAGAAAGACCCTAATAAAAAAAAATAGTTAATTATATAAATTAACCTGTGACTTCTTAATTAAACAAATACAAGAGTAACAAATTAAAGTAGGTTATATAGCGATTTTGGTTTGGACCCGACTCATTTGATATTCTGAATTTGGGTTTCATGATTTTGTATTGTTATTCATGTCTTATTCCTCTTTTCCCTCCTTAAGTTTGGCTATTGGGTTGTGTTGGTTATGTTTGGAATAGGTCAGTACATTGTTTTTCAAAAACCTTGTTATTCAGATTTTGCCTCTACTCTCAAGCGTCACTTCTTGCGCTCGAGCGGCTTTTGTGAACTCTCAATAAAACTACTGGAAGAGTGTATTCTATACTCGAGCGGTGCTTTTTGTGCTCGAGCGGTCATCCGCTTGAGCGACTCTTTTTGAGCTTGAGCGGTAGTCATCTGTCTGTAAAACTACTAGGAGTGTGTATTCTATGCACGAGCATCACTTATTGCGCTCGAGCGTTGACGCCCCAAAATTTGAGGACATCAATAAAAGGTTTAAAACTTAAAATCAATTTTTTTAACTAAGAACTTCTAATCATTGTTATCACCAAGTTTACTATCATCTATTAATTAATAATAGAGAAATTAAGAATTCTTAACTTACAACTCCAATCAAGCTCAAAGCTTAGTCTTAGTACATGAAAGAAAAAAATAACACAAATATATATATATATATATAACTAGAGAAAAACTAGAAAACTCAAAAAAATTGTTCATAGAACTTGGGCACACTTCAACTAACCAAGGTTGAATGTCGCCTTCCATGACCTCGGTATTTCCTTCAGTTTCTTCGGTACCTGGCATGAAACGTCAGGGCAACGGTAATGCCAATGAGCGAGGGGCTCAATAAGATACTACAACTCGAAAATACCCACCCTGATAATGATACTCACAATTAATGAATATTGTGTAGTAACAGAAGAAAAAGCAATATTTAATAAACATAACAGAGATGCTATCAGTTGAAATAATAACAACAGATAATAAGAACAAGGGCAAGCGAAAACAGTATTTCAGCATACGGAAAAATGTGAACTTTTCCTTTAAATTCATATAGATTTAGTTTATCAGGTAATTTTAAGTAATTCCTTGTGGAGCACTATTTTCACTCAACCAGTAAGCAATAGCCATGAGCAATTCTCACTCCCCCTTGGTTAAATATTCAAATGTTATTCCCTGTAACTACCAATGATGCTCACGCACCAGGGTTACGTACTTGAGTCGTGGCATCGTGGTCTGCCCCAAGGAAACAGTCTACATTGTGACACCCGTACCACCAACCTTATATCGCCTATACCGATAAGAGTCGAAATACCTTCTCGTGCCATGTTAGGGTTTGCAACTCACTTGCGCAAGACTCTAAACCGGGCTCACCCCATCACTTTTAAACTTTAATGCATTAGTGTAATTTCATGTTTCTTTATTTCGTCGAATTCACATTTTGATGCATGTACGAGTTTTAGTTTGCAAACCATAGTGACACACGGTTTATATAGCACAACATAATCACATATGGCAACCAAAATAAATATTATAGAATGTCTTAGGAGTCATCACAAAATTTCATTAAATTTCTCACACTTGTATAATAAATGTGGTCAATAATAATATCATAACACTAGTTGGTACATTAGTGTGTACACTAATTGGTGCATGTATTACCACCGATAGATAAAAATTGTGGTTAGGTTATGCAAATTTTGAAATTGGGAATGAAAGTAAACTTATTATTCTATGTTTTTGTTAATTTTTAGAACCTAAAAAGGTCCAAAAGTATTTTTACGGACCCAATCCTTTGGCTCATACTAATATAAAATCTGCTGAAAATGTGTTACTTTTTGTGTCAAGTGTTCCTGAGTGCTCAAAAGCATGCCAAATGTGGTTTACTTGCCTTACCATGCTTGTATGTACTAATGTGTTATATTTCATCCCATATACTTGCCTCACATTCATGTATATTTTTTTATTCGAATCTAGCTATATTAACTAGGACAATTACATTCATATTGTGGAGGCCGAGTATTAGGAGAAGCAAAGAGGCCGAATAAGTGAACTTGGAGAATCGAGATATATACATTGTATTTGGTCCCGTCTTATACAAATTCAGAAGTATCCTAATCGGCCACATAACCAGTTGAGCGAAGAACCGAGTGAAGAGTGGTTTGCAACAAAAGGAGCCGAGTAAATAGTTACACGGTGGATTAAAAGTGGACCCGACCCTGAGGCCCAAAAAAGGATATAAATAGAAGAACATCAACCAAAGATATGTATATGAAAACAAGTAAGTATAACTTGAGAGATAAACAATCAAGAGAGTGGATATTGACTTATCCGTCGGAGTGCTAATTCCGGCACTTCTGACCGGAGTGTTCATTCTTTTCCAGGAGACCAGCTGAGGGTCATGAGCAACCTCAAAGATCAGAAGCGTATTTCCGAACCACTTCTCCACAATTGGCGCCGTCTGTGGGAATACTCCAGTACATCCATGGTGGGACCAAAAAACATTACTGCCACCAGTCGATACAACTCCAAGCACCATGCTGGGACCAAAAAACATTACTGCACGAAGAGCCTTGAACTTCGACTCAGCTGATGAAACAATGCAAACAATTATGGATCAGGCAAAGTGAAACGAATAGAGGTTGGAGAACGTGATGGCTGAAAATCAGCGCCTTCAACAGGATTTGGCCTGGGAGGTGGCAAAATCCCAACAGGCCGTGCGCCAAGACTTGGCACAACCTCTGAGAAAGGATGTTCGACGACCTCGAACTTGGAGACAAGATAGTGACAGTGATTCTGACTCCTCATCCCAAACCCGAAAAAGAAGATGTGAGTCGAAGTCCCCAATTCTTCTGAAGGAAGTCCGCGTGCACGGAATAAGAGAATAAGAAATGATTCAGACAAAGAGGACCAACATGACCTCTTTATGCGACGGATCGCAAGGGCAGTACTACCCAAAAAGTTCAAGGCTCCATCGTTCACCCTATACGACGGAAAATCGGATCCCACTGACTACATCGGTCATTATAAGGGAGCCATGACGCTGCATGCGGACGACGAAGCTCTCATGTGTCGAATATTCCCGAGCAGTTTGAGACCATTGGCCGTCAGATGGTATTATAAGTTGGAATCAGCGTCGATTAAGAGCTTCCATCAATTACAGAAATCCTTCAGGGCAAGATTCATCACCAATGAAGTCCAGCTGAAGCAAGCTAATTCTCTCTGGGAAATGCAGATCCAACCAGGGGAAACCTTATGAGCATATTCGGCGCGCTATTGGGAATGCTTTAATCTTGTGGATGACGCCTGCAACGACTCCATGGCCATTACCGCCTTTAAAATGGGGTTGCATCCTGATAGTGCCCTCCGTAGTTCCTTGACTAGAAGGTCCCCCCAAATAGTTTGGTCATTGATGAAGAAAGTTAAGGAATACTGCAAAGTGGAAGATGATGCTATGCGGGTTAAAGCCGGGAACATGGCCAGCAAGACAGCCCCTTCTGAAATTGTTCAGTCGATGAATTTTGTACCATCACGAAGCCCTGAACCACAGAATTGGGCTAAACGAGACAAGAGACGGGGTTCGCGTCGATCAAACGACCAATGTTCCCACCGAGCTAGTGAGCAACTTCAAGTAGATAACAGGCGCACAAGGCTCGCAGACAAGAAATATACGGAGTTATCAAAGCCAATCAGCACGATTATGTCTAAAGTCCAACACCTTCCATTCTTCAAATGGACATCCAAAATAGTGGGGCCTCCTGACACGAGGAGACGGGATAGGCGGTGTGAGTATCACAAAGACCACGGCCATGATACCGAGATTTGTTATGCATTGAAGGATCACCTTGAGGAATTGGTACAAGATGGTTGGCTTAAACAGTACGTTCGAAAAGACAACTCAACCAAAACAGTAGCTTTACAGCAGGATTCACCTCCACTCGGCGTAATTCATATGATATGCAGCCTGCTGACGTCATTTGCGGTACATACAATTCAGTCGCATCCTGAGCCCAAAAGCAAATCACACCAGCAAAACGGCCCCATGAAGCTCCAAGTATTACCTTTGACGATTCTAATTTGATCGGCGTAACACTCTCCCACATTGATCCATTGGGCATCGAAATACGCGTAAACCGATTCACCGTTGAACGCATTCTCATAGACGAGGGGAGTACTTCGGAAGTTATGCATTACAAGACCTTCATCAAACTCAGGTTCGCCGA